AAAATGGCCCTCCGTTTCAGGCTGAAAACTCTGGGTCTGAAAAGACCCAGAAATAGGCTGAAACGGGGTAGGGCCTGCAGGCCCTCGTTTTACAGCTTCCAGGCTGAAACGAACGGGGCCTGTAAGCCCTAAGTTTTAGGCTTTTAGGCTGAACGTCCGGGACGGGCCCTGYAGGGCCCGTGTGGCTACGCAGTATGCCACATCTATGTTACGATCCTGGCCAATTCTGCAGTGCAATAACACAAGGAAGTACAACGCCGTCCAATTGCATCTGAAATGAGTGAACTTGAGAGGGGAGAGAGACCAAGAAGAAGAAGAAGAAGATGTACACCAGCAAATGACCAATGACAGTTCCCCCTTCTCTCGCCAACCAACTCCTCCTCCTTATCTCCCCCTCTCTTATTCAAACAATAAATAGTAATAATAATAACGATGAATGGTTGAACCAGCATCAATGTCCAAATCCCTCTTCTACTGACAGGACAATATGATGGTCACCATAGCCATGACCTCCATCTTCCTCCACCTCCGACAGGTCTGGGCTATGGTGGACTACTAAGGGCCTTGCCAAATGTGCAAAAGACAACGCAAAAGCAGCTATGTCCTCCAATCTTCAGGCCGCTGTGCCTGACTCTGCCTTGAAGCCTGCTTGATGTGGCGCTACCCCACTAGGGGCCTTCCAGATGCTGAGCCTACCAAGGAGATGAAGATGGTGCCCACCATAGCCAGGTAAATATCTTTGGCGCTCTCCTCCCTGGTCCTCTTCTTCTTCCTCCTCCTCCTACCCAGACCCTACCACCATAGCCGAAGGTGGAGGGATGGGCGCTCCTCTTCCCCTAACGGTGCACACAAGCGCTCCTCCAGGCGCTCCAGCAGCATGACGCCCAAACTTGCACGCAGCAGATGAGGAGAGCAATTCGCTCCTCCTGGACATATAGCGGCCTACCAGCCTCTCGGGGCCTCCAAGCAACCGGCACCTCCTCCCTTTCGGAGGGAAACATCATTGCATACCTGATATCTACTCCTACGGGCCCTAGACCTACATACCAGACTTCTACCCCTAAAGGTACTAAGTTTTTGTCTTCTTCTGCTCGGCCTACCGCTACTCACATGCTACCGGTACCGACACTACACTACTTGAGTGTGGCCGAAGCTACCCCTTCAGCCACTCGAGTGTTTTCCCCCGCTGCAACCCTCAAAGTCTTGGCCACATCTAAGTATCGTTCACGCAGGCCTCCCAAACAAACAAGTGCCCTGGTGGGCCACACACACACCCAGGCCGAACGTGCTTAGACAGGCAAATGGACCCGCAAGCAAGCACACACACAGACTTCAAAAACTCAGCATGACGCGGGAATCTCAGCAAGGAATACATTCCAGCGGCAAAACGCAGATATCAGCAGTGCTCTCAGTCTGTGTTTTGGCAGGTCCTTGGACTTCTTACATCTAGCTTGACAAATTGCTGTATATTGCATGCATTTAAATTCATATTTAGCTATGAGCAATCTACGTCTTTGGTATCTAAGGACTTGATTTGACATATGGCTAAACTTCTTTCTGTAAAAGCCCGCTCCACAAAATGGAAGTTTCATTTTGGGTTTTAGCTGGTTAGCGTGCACACGACATAGTCTCTGTTCCGAACACTATGAAGGGATGGTCGCTGCCGACCTCTGCCACGAAAACTGTGACCCATTGTCCTGTGCTCATCCACCCCACCTTCTAATTACTTGCCCAGTATGTCGTTGTGCCTTGATATGTTGTGCTTAAATAACTGCAAACGTCAGTCTGCTTTTCCCCTAACATGTCAACAACATGCCATATGTCGTCAATGTTTCTGGGAAGCTGTCATAGAAAGCATGTCTCTCTGGTGCGTGGACTATCCCCGATGCCATCACCCACCATATCCTCTCCTAACATGTCCTGCATACACTTAGCATGTCCTGTATGCAGCGTTAGGCATGCACCTGCTGCAATCGTCGCCGGATCTCCTTCATTCTCGCCAGACAAACAACTGATGCAGCACCCTGAGGAGGAAAATGGGCTATCATATGAAACGCCTACAGAGTGATGTCCTGATAGGATATCACCACCAGGGAGAGCTGTTGCAGACCAAATCCTGCAACAGCTAAACACTCTTTGCATCAGTGTCCGTCGTTATTTGTCCATATAGAGGAAATAATGACTGCGGCAACCCGAGAAACTTACTTAATGTCATTCTGTGATGGCCAACCTCAGCTTCGGCTACCATGTCATTTGCATGCCTTTTGTCGTGACTCGTGAGCATTATGAAGGCATAGTCCATGCAAGTTTTTGCTTTCATACATATGATGACAGTCAACATTGCACTCATGTAAGGCACCCTGACAAGTCATGGTCAATAGGTAGATGGCTGGAATGGCAATGCCTGTACAATTGCAGTCATCATGCCTCTGTGTTTCTAGCATGTAGAGCCACGTAGCCTGTGGCATCTGTCTTTGCCGTGCCATTTGTTGCAGCAACTACAACTGTGAGAATTGGATGTGGTGCGGTCCTGTCCGGTCTGTAGAACTGGCCACTTACCATAGGCAGCGGCTGCTCCTCAACTCAAAATTTCCTGCTACCCAAACACCAACTGACCTCTTGTGTCATTTTAAGAAAGAAAGTCGGTGGTGGTCGGAAGCCAGTTGCACAGGAGCCGCCCCCCAAAAAAGAGGGATGTCAAGATTAACAATGAAGGAAGCTCTAGGAACCCATTTTTGCCAGTGGTCTTCAACCTCTTCTTCCCAACATGGACTTTTATCCGCCCCTAAGAAATCCAAACTCTCATGGCACACGATTTGCCTGCTGCTGCCAGTGCTTTTCCTACAGGCACTCCGAGCCTTTCTGCGGCCCCGTGTTAACTGACAGGCGCATTTCCAACAACTGGGACGACCACTGGCACCTCAATGCATTGATTGATTAAATAAGTACCTCATAAACAGTCTTCCATACCATGTACTGTCGTTAAAGGCATTCGGCCATGATTTGCTTGGCTTCAGTTGTTTCCACAGAGTACAAGTTCCAACCAGCCAACAAAAGAAGGATCCAGAAGGTTAGCAGCAGCAGTTCACTTACATGGAGCATTCCGCAAGACTTACTTTAACAGTTTTTAAAAACAAATTTTAGCATTTTAGTATTTCTAATATTTTCTAGTATTTTACACTTCCCAATCTGCAGTACCAATTAGCCCCAGGACTATACCCTTTCATTACAAGCCCTTATGCATTTCTTCAAGTTCTTTTTCCAGTTCTGCGCAAACATAGATGAACAGCAATATTGAAATTTTTTGAAACAATTAAAAAAATTATTAAAATAACATTGTGCAAAGAAACTGTGAAGGAGAAACTCAGATTACAAGTAAGCTGAACTCTCTTGACCAGTAGCATAATATGACAAGGCAAGAAGCAAGAAATGACAAAGCGATGATCAAACTTCCACCAGACAATTAATACAACAACTAGCTTGCATTGCGGGCAGTACAGGTGATGCCCACACAAAACAAGATAGGCAAAGGTTATTCACTCATGTAATTTGTCTCCAGTTCAATGTACACGGGAAGTAAGAAACCATACAACGCAAAACTATGAATGCACAAAAACATGTTCATCTGGTGTTCGGCAAAATCCAAATTACTTGGAGACGATTTGCAAGGCCCCTGCAAAAGGATGACACTGAAAGGCATTTCACGCTGCAGACCCCGAATTCGGGTTTCAGGGGCAAAAGCCCCCAAGTCAAAGAGGCCGAGTCGTCCGGATTCAGAAAGGTCAAGTCGGGTACCCCAGAGGTCAAGTCCAACCGGTACCCAGTCAAAAGTCACCTCCCACAGTCAAAGGTCACATCCCACAGGCAAGGGTCATGACCCACAGTCAAAGGTCATGTCCCGCAGACCAAAAAGCAGCAGCACACCAAGCAAAACTCAGGGAGGTACCGGCCTCAACATTCCGGAAGCAAACAGGCCGCGGCAGCCAGTACTGGGCCGAAGTCAAGCCAAGAGAAGCAAAGGCTGGCACAAGCGCTCAGCAGCCAAGATTGCTCATTCGTAAATATGTGGAAGTGCTGCTGAGCGCTTGTGCGATATCTGCGAGTTGGCATGCGCTAGAGCCCTGGCTGGGCAGCGCTGCGCTGTGGAAGGAAGGCGGGCGTAGCCGCACAGCTTAGTAGAGCTGAGTAGTGGCAGATGTATCCAGCGTCAAGATCTTCATGTAGAGAGCGAGAGAGCGAACACATGCATGAAGGGGGAGAGAGAAGGACATGGAGAGAGAGAGAGAGAGAAAGAGAGAGAGAGAGAGAGAGAGAGAGAGAGAGAGAGAGAGAGAGAGAGAGAGAGAGAGAGAGAGAGAGAGAGA